CGGTTTAATGTTTCTTACTGAAATGAACCAGTACAAGCTATGGCATTTACGAAAGGCTTAATACTAGTTTTAACAGCTAAAGTATTATATGTGAAACTGGGTATAGACTCGAAATTCATTGACAGACTTTGTTTTTAAATTCAGAAAACAAAAGAATATTTTGAAAAGAAAAAGTGCATTTTTTAAATGGGAAGAACACGTTCTTAAACACAGTTTTGCATCACATTTTAATTTAATGTGAACATTTTTGACGCATGAATTTGTTGAATTAGTGATTTAACTGTTTAACTAGAACAAAAAATAAAGAAGGACCTATATCTGATCGCCCTTAAAATCAAAATGTATATCAAGCTCTTTTGCCTAATTTTAAAGAGAGTTAAGAATAGCATAAAATGCTTTTGTTTATATTTTGCGAAAAGTGTTCCTCAGAAATTGATGTTGGTATATATGAGGTTTGCAGGTTACTGCAAAGTCTGAGAAAGCTTAAATTCTATTTTTACTGGCAAGGGAATCAATAGTTTTCCTAGCATAGTTAATTTTATAGTTTTATAGGGAATATTCAAATAACAACATCTAAATTTTATATATGTCATAGTTATTGCTTATGCATAACATAAATTTTGTTTTCAGTATTCTTTAATCAAAATTTTGGCTTATTCAAATTAGTTTTGACACTGCATTTGCGAAACTCAAGTTCCAAGTAGTTTAGTTTATTTCGTCAATGAATTTTCCCAGTGTAGCTTGGGCTTAAGAATAAGTTCCAGGAGAATACGACGAATTTTAACAATACGTGTAACAATGTAAGTGCTATTATTTATATGCAACAGCCGCGTTGAAGAATAAACATCTGAAAATGATGTGAGGAATAAGCACAATAATATCCATTACGGGTACACGTATAAATTGACAATAATACAGATGCATGATTTATTGGCAATAATGAGCTGCATGGGCAACTATAAATTGACAATAATGATATGCATGGGCAACTATAAATTGACAATAATGAGCTGTATTGCATGGGTTTAGATTGAAATAAATGGTCGAAAAGGCCATCAGGAAACCATAAAGAGCAACGTGTAGCTTAGTTATTTGGAAACTGGAAGCAAAACATCAGTCCTCTTAGAAAGATTATACTAGACAGTACAAAGACTACATTTTCGAGAATTTATCCAGTTTAGATTTATGTTCTGTATTTTTCATTTCAAATTTCCATATCTGAAGGTTTATATATCCATTAGTTTGTGGACGAAAATGTGAAATAAATTTCTGAAGACAATGGAGCTTAAAATGCAGATGTGATACAGAAATACATTAATACGATATCCCCCCACTTTTCACTAATTTTATCGTCTTAAAATCGGAAAGGAAAAATTATGCAAATAATTTAATTTCCGAAGGCCGTGTTACAGAAGGAACTTAATAAATGAAGATTTGTTAAGGGTAAATTACAGTTAGCTATCACGATATTATTTCTTTAAAACAAACTTACATTTCAAGAAGAATACATATTAATAATAGCATAACAATATCTAACAAGATATCTCCATTCCTTAGTTCCCAGTAAGTTGAATATCGCCCGTTCTTACTGTATTTTCCACTTCTTCTTAGACCTCGAATCAGGTGAATGTGCAGTTGACTTAGCGAAATCAGTGCTTATTTGCTCCTCTGTGACTGGTCGTTATTATTTTAGGGTGGCATAAAATTTTTAAAAAATAGATATATGGAAGAAAATACGGTAATTAAATGGAAGAGAAACATATCAATTTTAATTTTAAAATTAGGCAAAAAATCAACCTATGAAGCTTAATTTAAATTGAGTTAAAAAAACTCTTGATTTTAAAAGCGATTAGACACAAGCCCCTCTATTTCAGGGAAAAACAAAGTTTGTTTCCAGAGCAAAAATGTTTTGCTTCTGAAGAAGAGGGAATTGTGTCTGATCGCTTCCGAAATTAATTGATATTTACTCAAAAAGTATTCCATACTGAGGTTGATTTTTGCCTTATTTAAGCAGTAAGAAGTACTTAAGTATATACGTTTTATTTTTTTAATAAGTACTTATATTGCAGAATTCTTGCATAGCGTAGCATCATCTAGAAATTAAAGCCAGCTGTTGTTCATTGGTTAAAATTTTGCGATATATTCGTAAATATAGTTCTGTAACTAAACGAAAATTATTTCTGAATTTATGCCTTTATTAAATTTTATAGCTTATCATAAATTCCATTATCATAAAAAGCATAAAACAAAAAAATTCTGCCTTGACCATGGCTTGTGTTAGCACAATATTAAAAACTTTATACCTGTCCAAAAAGATATGAATTAACCTGGATTACCGAATAATAAACATATGTATACCTTTGTATAAACTAATGCAAGGCAAACCTGCCCATTTTCATTCGGAATTTTTTTTGAATGGTAAGTCCTTTCATGTAAGGACTTTTATCATATGTATTTGAACAAGAGAGTGTACCTCAAGGCTGTGTTCTAAGTATTGCTGTGTTCAGTATATAAATGAGTTTAGTCCACCTATTTCTGGATCTCTTGCCGCCCAGCCAGTGTATTGGTTAGTGACGTTGGCAGCCGTTCTCGGAGAAGGCATGGATATTCGTAAGCACATGTTTGTGCAGCAAGGGGGACACCTTTGCTGCACAGACATGCGCAAACAAGGACAAACAAGAACGTGTTTGTCAAAATATGCAGCAAGTCCTCTTGAGAGGTTGATGGTAGGAGAAAGAAGGATGGAAGAGCCTCGTGCCGCCCCCATGTGGTGTTCTTCTTCAAAACTGAGATGGAACTGCATGGTTAGTGCGATGGAACTATGCCTGTATGATTAATGGTGATATTCTAGTGCCTCGACTACTTCTACCTATGTCTGGGTGTCTAATAACCTCCTGATAATGTGTCAGACAGCTGATATGAGGCTTACGAATCATAAATAAAATATCGGGTTGACAAATCTCTTAACATTCGATACTAATAAAATTAAAATCCTTCATGATATTCTGACAATTTTTAATTTTCATGATGTTACTAGCTGTAAGACGGCTACGTAACTTGAATTTCAATTTAGCCAAGTTCAGTATAAGATTTACGTTAATTTTAGAGAATAAGAATTTGGAAAGACTATATCCAAACAACTGGTGGTTGTAACTTGATTACTATATTCTAAGTAAGCTTGTTGGTCCCCCTTCAGCGAAGAAAAACACTTCTTTCCCTTGTCTTTTTAATGTTAGAGTTTTAAAATTAATTATCTGTTTTTTATTAGCTTTACCAAAATTGTTATATACTTCGCATATCGTTCTGCCAAGCATAACAAACACTACTGCGTGTAATTCTTTTATCACATTCAGTCTTTTCGTCGTTCCTTGAAAATATTTCCTTAATAAAGAACGCGTTTATCATATGTTTCTGTTATACGGTTAAAGTGGAGAAACCGTTGTAAAGACCCGTCAATTTTTTACGGTTGGGAGGAAAATGAGGATTTAAACAATTAGATTACTCGGTAAATGCTCCTAAAGTCAGTTTTAATCACACGTTCAAGAGAGCAGAAAAACGAGCTCGGAGAAAAACTCAAGATTTTCTTTAAGAAAAAAGAAATGTTTGAAAAGCGTAGGTTAATCGCCTAAAGAAATCGCTTAGCGAACTTCAGAATGCGAAATTCTATTTATAGAAGTTCTTTGGCAGAAGTGAAGACAGAATGCTTTTATCTTAAATACATGTTTCGTACTTTCTTATAAACACGGCATTTTGTTTGTACTTTTCAACTGTTTTACGAAAGCAAAAGCTTAGTTATCGTTTCATGTCTTAAGAAGTTAGTTCATTAAAATACGCAATACCGGTTATTTTGACTTTAAATATCTGTTATTGTGTAATTTACATTCCATCAAATAGTGACAAAAATCAAAAAACTGCTTATGTTTTTAGATAACTGTGATTTTGTTGATTGCGAGTTTTAATAACATCATTCGCTTTAATAGTAGTTGTTAATTAAATATGCATAATTTAATTAAGCTATTTTTTAAGTTCTTAATGTTAAGATTAAAAGTTACGCTTAATGTTTGTTCTGTTTTATAGGTTTGCGATTATTTCCATTAATTATGTAAAAAAAACTTTGATTCAGTGAGTTCGAGTAACTCTCAGACGCTAGCAAATGCCACTTAATAAACTGAATATATTGCATTGTCCCATAAAATCTGGCTTTTTTTAAGTTCAGAATTCCACAAAAATAAACAAGAAATGAGCAACAAAAATCAAGCATTCTACGTTGGTCCTTACAATTTCTTCCCAACATTCAACAAGCTGCTCAGTGCCTCGACGGTGGAAATCGCCATCTTTGTACAAGCGTTAAACCAATTTTGACCCGTCTTAGAGGCATCGCTTCGAAAAAAGCTTTGGGCACCTCGACTAAACGCAAAAGTCAAGATGTCGATCGACTTGACACTTCATGTTAACGCATAAACGCATAAAAGCATAAAGAAACAAACACACTATTTTGTAGAACACATACATCTCTAACGGCTAACATAAAATCCATTACGGAAACATTTTATTATTCACGCAAAATTTTCGCTTAAAAAAACGTCAAGTCAAACCAATATTTAATGTGCCAAAAATATACTGCAAGTAGTGGATAAAACAACCAATGAAAGTAATCAGTCTCGACGTCATTTATCTGCTTCAGTATATTTATGTGTGAATATTTATTCGTTAACTGTAGAGAATCTTGTAACTGCTTTTTTAAAACTAAAAAGGGAAATCATAAATAACAGCTGCAGAATTGTTTCCTTATCACTTTTATATTAAATCCAAGGAATCCATTATTATTGCGTAGGTTTGCAACTTCGCAGCAAAGAGAATCGAGCGGGCAGCAACAATAGACTTTAAAAGCAGTTTCGTAAATGTGTAGAGATTTGGTTTTTAACTCTATGGGTTAAAAGACTTTAAAAGAATAATATTTTTAATAAAACAGTTTTAAATATGCTTTTTAAAATAATAAATTTTTAATAATTAAGCCCAACATTAAGCCATTTCATAATATGTCAGACTTCCTGCAGACGATATTTTTAAATTAACCGTTATTAAATATCGTCTGATTTTTGACCGTTATGTATAGCAAAGAATTTCACTAGGAGTTGAATTTTATGGATCTGTACTTAAGATTTGCGTCGTTGAAAGTTCGCATTCAGAAATCAGATTTTAATATTAAATTATGAATAAGCTGCCGAATAAATTCCAGCATAAGATATATAGAGCTGTATCTGAATGCAAAACTGGAGCATTAAGATGGAGCGAAGAAGGAGATTCAGTAATATTTAACTTCCCGCAGTTTAAGATCGAATACTTAGGTGCAGATGATTCAATAAGTCGAAGCTCAAGTATTCCGTCATTTATCCGTCAACTGAACCTTTATGGATTTAGAAAGCTTGTGGATTTAACTCGTGAAAACAATTGTTCTGAATATGCAAATATCTATTTCCAACGAGGTAAACCAGAATTATTGGATTTTATAACTAGAAATAATACTCAACCAAAATTTATGGTAAGTAACATTATTTTTTCACGGTTTAATACAGTTTCCTAATATATAATATATATGTTTAAATTTATTAAAGTATGCGAGAAACGCATGACAAGTAATTAATTATCTGCTTACTCCAAATTTCGGATTTACAACGGAAGTTACATCAACCTTTGTGATTTATGACATTGTTGATTCTGAAAAATAGGTGTTCTGACTATCTTAATATAATTTTTATAATTGATTCTGAGGTAACTGGCGTTAAATTTCTTTTATAAGCCAGTTATATATTTTCAACCTTTATAGTACCTTTTTATTAATATATTTATGTATTGGTAATTTGTAATTTTAAACATTATATTTTATTAATTTGTTTATTCAAAACTAATGCATCATTTTACATATTATATTTAAAATACTTTAAATATGATTTCAGTACTAAATTTTAGAAGTGCAATGAAATATTTTAAATCCATTATTTTTCATGTTGCCGTTTTATCCTAACATCCTTTACGTCTGTATGGTCAAACTAGATTTCGTATATCTATATTTTATATCTTAAAGTAATTAATTATCTTATATAATTATAAATTTCAAGAGAAAATCACATTTTTTAAACCTTGCTGTTTTCCACTTTTCAACACACATTTTGTCTGTTTACGTCGATATACTCTTATCGAAAAATAAAATATTTTGAGTCTCTTGAATTTCAAATTTAGAAGATAATTTCAGTTTTTATGTTCATTATTACGTAAGACACAACGTGTAATATATATTTAATGATTTATGCTATGCAAGGATGAGGTATGAATAGAAATTTCTTAAAAAATTTTATTTTTAAAACTAACTATTTTATAGTTTATTTATCCTCATTTAATTTTCTTGAGTGTTTAATGCTTTAAATGAAAACATTAAACTGCTTTATTTTGCGAGTAGTAAATTTAACTGTATTAAATATGGATAGGGTTATGACTGTCCTTTTTTTCTTCAGATTGAATGAAATTTCCTAGATAAAGGACGACCCACCGAGCGATAAATTCGCTGAACATTGGTAGTTCGGTCCGAGGTTCCATGAACGAGCTGGCTGCATTGATGTTTTCGTTCTTTTTCCCATGTGTAATGTGTATACGGTTTCTCTTAGCAAGTTCTCCACGAAGGCATCCCTCCCCTTATTCAGATAGCCCCGAGCGCTTTGCCATAATCTAATAAAGCAAACCAAACCTAGATGAAGGATTCAAATAAGTTACTGGAACATCATCCTAATATCTTTATCCGAATGCAATTAATTATGCATTTTTCTAAAACAATTACATCTGTAATGCCAATAAAATTATATTTTTTATATTTTTAATCGAAGATATAAATATATTAAATTTCATCCCATTATTCATAATTATTTTATATAATATGGATTTTAGAAAAACCTAAAGGTGAAGAAGGAGGTTTTATTTGATGCAGACAATACGAACAAGGGAAATGAATTGTCGAAGTGGAAAACTTCAATAGTAAGTAATGTCTTTTAACTTCTTATCAGAATAAACACAATTTCATTTTCATTTTTTTCTGTGAGATTATTTTTAGAAATATATATCTCAAAATAGCATAAAACGTATTCACTGTTTCTGCATTTTGGAGTTTGTTTTATTGAAGTTATATTTTGATTTATTTTATAATAAAAAAGGTAGTTTTTTGCTTCTAATTTCCCTTTATTTTTGGAGGGGAGGTTAAAATGTAAGCATGTTTCCTATTTAAATTTGTTATTATTATAATTTTTTTTCATATAAATGTGTTTGTAACAATATAATTTCCCTTAACAAATTACAGAAAATAATTTGAAATACAAGTGTACTTTTATTTTCTGTCAGTTTGGGAAAATATATTCATGATGTTTAAGGAAATAGAATCCCCCCTAAACACTTCTATCAGCAGAAATTGGTATAAGCAATTGGTAAAAATGATCCGTTTTAACATAGTATAATATACTTTAGAGCTGAAAGTCAATATTATTAAATTTACATAGTGGTGAATTATAGCTCTTTAACCTTCTTACTATTATTCCAGCAAAAGCACAATTAAGATAAATCCAAAACTGTCTTTAGCTGATAAATAAGACATATTTCGAATATCTTTTAATATTTTAGTGCTTTAATTTTAAATTTAATCTGAAATACAAATGAACTTTTGGTTTTTTTTTACCTGTTGCAACGACCAAAAGATAACTTTCGATAAAAGTGATTATTCGCAGTAATAGCATAATGTTCAAAATAACCTGAAAACTGTTTCTAGTCGATAAAGTGGTTAAATTTCCAATACTTGTCTGTAAATATAGAGTGCTTTCAGTTTAATTTAGAATAAAATAATCTGCGAAATTTGTTATCTATTGCAGCAACCAGACGAAATATACAGTATTATAAGAAACGTGCTTAATCCAGCTATTATACAGTCATTGCTCATTATATATAATCACTAAATGACTTTGTCACAGTTGAAATCTCCTCAAAGCATTTCACGGATGTAGAGGACTTAGCAAGTATCAGATAAAGTTGTGAATTAGATTTTTTTATTATTATTATTTTCTAATTTGCATTACAACTGCTTAAATATTTTTCGCATTTAAAAATTTTAATATTTATGTTAAAATGTATAAATAGGAATTTTAGTAACTTAGTAACTTAGAAAATTCATTCAAATAGTGTTAATCCCCCCCCAAAGTAACCAAAGATATTAATCTCTACTGAAATGTGTGTAATGCCCCCTTCCCCCCCCAAAAAAAAAACCGCACGTATACTCTTGTTGTATATTATGCTTTTATTCTACTATAAAATATTTTCGTTACTTACCTAGCAATCAAGAAAGTGTAGTTCTTTGAAACAGACTTTGGATACTGAAGATAAAGAAAAATTTGATCTAAGAGCAAGTCTTGCAGAAACTGTTAAAACAAGGAAACGAAAATGCGTTCTGGTAAGAAATTTTATTTCAGGTAGTCCTTTTTATAAATGAAAGCTCCTTGAATACATTTTACATACTCATGAAAGATTAAATATTATGTGATTACGTTTGAATAAAATAGAAATACCCATCTAATATCAGAAAAATGCTAGAATAATTTTTTGAAAAATGTTCTTTCCCATTGTTTTGAATGACTTGTATTTATTATATGTCAGAGGATGTCAAACTTCTTTCCAATGACGGAACTATATGGTAAAACTTCCGCAGGTTTCAAGCGCTGCAGTGAGATCTTCTAATTGCCTAAATAGATGTTTATATAGTTTTATAATTAATTAAAACGTTTTTGATTAAAAAGAAACACTGTAAGTAGATTAACAAAAATTTATCATGATTTAAATGATATGTAGCTGTCGATTATAATTTGTACACAACGACCGATTATTTTTGTAAAAAAGTAAAATTAAAATTGAAAGACTTAATAATCTTTACGTTAGAGTATAAAGTGTTTATTCGAATGTAACATAAGGCAATAATTTTAAAATCGGAATTAATAATTTTGCTTAAACTATCACAAATTTCTGAAACAGTTGATGGAAAACTGAAGTCAGGGTCTAAATTATTTTAAAACTAGTTGCATTTTACCAAGGATTTCATATAAAATATAGTAACTTAATTTCTCATATAAAACTAACAGGAGCACCAACCTACGGATATTAAAATCTTCAGTCGCTTAACTTTTTAAATGTAAATGTGAAATGTATGATCAGATGTATATTGCTTTTGCAAATGAAATTTACAACTATACACACTTATTCTAAAATTCGCATTGTCGTGGCAGTAACTTACAAAAGTTTAATTTTTTACTAATTTGACGATTAGCTCGCAACACACATTTTGATATTAATTTCAATCATTGCTCTGGCCCACCAGCGGCCGAGCGGTAAAGTCGCTGAACACTGGTATTTCGGTCCGAGGTTCGAATCCTGTGAACGGACTGGCTGCATGGGCGTTTTCGTGGTTTTCCCCATGTGTAACGTGTATACGAGCCAGTTTCCCTTAGAAAGTCCTCCACGAAGGCATCCCTTCCCTTAAGCAGATAGCCCTAGTGTGCTTTGCCGTAATAAAATAAACCAATCATTACTCTTAAACTGTAATTTTTTTGAAAACATGATAGTTGCAAATAGCTCGTTAATTTCGAATTGTATTTTGAAAGTAAAACCATTTCTTGCTACAATACAAGCTGTTTTTAATAGGCGGATAAGCCGCAATTACCCCATGCCCCCTTTATATACAATGCTTTCCTCCATTCATGATTTGAAAGTGCGACTTAAGACGTATATAATAGTTAGATGACAGTATTGTTTAAAACATGCAATTTCACATAAAACTGGACTTGTCCGAAACAGCATGCCGTATTTAATATTAAGTCTTATAAAAATCGTTCCTGTGGTTCAGCTTTTATGAATTATTTGAATACTGGCGTTGATTATCAGCTTAGTGCTGAAAAATCATTTTACGTACCGATTACATTTATTTTATATACATTAATCTTGCCCAGCCTTCCCATGAATTTTTCAATGAATGAAAACGATACTATTTTGTAAGAAATTCACTCCTCTTATTTTGTCTACATTTTAATCACACCATTTTGGTCATTTTTAAAAGTATTAAATCATTTTAATCTGCGAATTTTATAAAACTATTAAACATGTTATGAACGGAGATTAATTTTAGAAAGAATTTCCTTTAGAGTACCATTTGTTTGATAAGTTTTGGTTTGGTTTGGTTTATTTAGATTACGGCAAAGCACTCGAGGGCTATCTGCCTTAAGGGAGGGATGCCTTCGTGAAGGACTTTTTAAGGGGATCTGGCTCGTATATACGTTACACATAGGAGAAAACCACGAAAACACCCATGCAGCCAGCCCGTTCGCGAAATTCGAACCTTGGACCAAACTACCAGTGTTCAGCGACGTTACCGCTCGGCCGCTGGTGGGCCATTTGTTTGATAAGAATCTCTATTATTAAGTAAAGAAACTCTATGTGTGCTGATAATGTGTAGGTTGGTACAAATTCCGGTCCAGACCGTTGCTCTTCAGATGTTCAAGTTCTCTTCAGATGAGAATCCGCCTATTGTGAGGTCGTAAACTAAAGAACTCCTCCGTGAAGAGTACGTTTCTCCACTCATCTCAGATGCTCCCCTTCTGAGGACAGTATAGTGATCCTATGCCAATGAAACACGAACCAACAAAACTATATGGTTGAGTCGGAGTGGAACAGTTTCAGTCGAAATTCTTTTACCAGTAACCCTCTCAAGGAGCTATTGCAAAAACGTGGCGTTCATAGTGTGTTTTCATTTGGCGGTTAGTGTTAAACACTGATCCTCATTTTGTGCTGTTGCAGGCGTACGACCTTGTCTTGATTTTCAGGAAACATTTCCAATTTTCAAAAACCTATTCCGTCGTCTCTAAATGACATTTTGAGAAACTCCTTAAGCTTCCGCTACAACGGATTGACCCGCGTTTAAAGAACTGATGGCCTCCAGGTTACCAATTCAGCTAAGTCATCTTGCTGAGACATATTCGCTTACAATATACCCTAACTCTTCTGAGCAGTGTGCATATCTTTGAGAATTTTGCCTGTAGAGTATCTTTAATTGAGTTTGAAATATATTCATGTGTAGTGCATTCCCAATGGTTTGTAATTTCAGTAGATGCTTAATGAAACTTTAGATTTGTAGAACTCAAGCATTTCATCATTTTCTGTCTCTTGTCAGTTGAATTCTACTTTACTGAAGACTGTAAAATAGTTGAGAATTTGCCTGCACAGCATCTTTGAAAGTATTTATATTCATGAGCTACCTTTATAACTGAAAAGGTGATATTTTAGTAAAACTGATCACCATTTATGAAAGTAAATATATGATTCCGAAATGTTGTATCGAATCTCATGAATGATACTGTCAAGTTACTGTATATATGATCTTGATATTCAGTATGGTGACTGAATGATATAAAGAAAACTATGTTTTTTTCTGCACATGTATTCTTGTAGCTTGCACGCTTAGAGAAACTAATCATAAATGCTACTGTATCATAAATGCCAGACCATAATAATATCTAAAGGTCCGAAATTCTATTTATTTTATCAAATAATCTTTAACATTTCAGCTTTATTATAATATTTGATTACGTTTTATAGCTTTTTGTAAGCTAATTATTCAAATATGAATTAATTAAATTTAATTTTATAGCTATCGTAATCTTATTTTAGGTTTTATGTATAAAGCAATGGAATTCAATTAGGATAAATTAGAATCGAATTTTTTATCTTACGGAACTGTTGCAATTGTTTAAGCTGCAAAATAATTTTTTATTTATTTATTTTAAGAAAAATGCCACCGGGTCCCAAAGAGAAGAGCAAATACATGTCGGAGACGAAGTTCCAAAGAAAAGAAATAAGCCTATCACAGTGAAATCAGCTTTTAATATGCAGCACAGGCCAGTAAACCTAAAGAATGGAGATAATTTTCTGAAGAAAGCACAACAGACAGGTTTGGATATGCAATATAAGCTTCCTGTCCTTAATGAAACCACTGTGTCTTCAAAATCAAAAGCAAGTTTTCCCGTGCAGCATAAACCTTTTTTTCTGAAAAGAAATGAAGCACCAAAGGTTACTGAAAATTCTATTGTTGCTCTTAAACCTCCTAACCAGATTGGAAACAATTTCATGATTTCAACGCAACCTGCCGCTGATAAGAAGAAACAGAAGCATCAAGTCCTAAATGGATACAGTGTCCCAATGACTACAGAAAATCCTGGTATGCAGTATAAGGCAACTATTTATTCAAATAGCGAAAACACACAAGATGTGATATATATTGGAAAAGTAAGATTTTTTAATTGCTTTTTTTATTATTATTTTTAAGATGGCATGCTCTATTTACTTGTTTCTAGAGTTTTTCTGACATACTTGTTTGATGACATATATAACACTAAATACCAGAATCATGTTAGAAGAAAACATTTCTGGACATAAGGCTAAACACAAATGCAATAATGTTTTATTAAATTTTGAAGGATTGTGCTTAACGCTAATGTCGAATAATGCCAAGGGTTTGTAATTTGTTAGATTAGTTTTATAATATATCCTTTTAAATAATCTAAATATATTATATATTCTTATTTTTAAAAAATTTTAAAAAGTCTTACCTATTCTAACATAATGTTAGATATGGATATACTCGGTGAACAAAATAGACAACTACTTGGTAACTGAACGATCAGTTTGAAACCAAATAGAAATCCCAAACCTGAATTGAATAAATTTGTGTAGAAATGTTTTTTAACTTTCTAATTACTTGACAACTGTTTTCAATTCTGATGCCTCTTAATCACTAAGATTTCTATTAAGAAACGCATTTTGTAGTGATGATAAAAAATTATTATGTATAGTGTATTAAGTTTATTCTGGTTGGATCTTTTGATTGATGAATTTTTTGACACCAAGAAAGGCGGCAAGCAGCAATGTTTGCAAGACGGCTGTCATGCAAAACACGCCGAAAACATGTGTTGCAAAAGCAACAAAATTTCTCGCCTTGTGTGTTCTTGGCTATGTCTGACTCCAGCTTCGGATGACTGTATAGAATTATTTAATGCAATTTATATAGTATCGGGACAGATCCTCTTCCTACTGATCCAGGTACCCACGAAGCCTTAGAAACACCGCCTAGAAGGAATCCGAAATTTCATCTCCGCTCAGTCTAGCTCTCAAGTACTGTTGATGTGGATGTCAGTTTCGGGCTCTTTATACTCTTTATCTCTCTCTCTTTCTTTACGTCAGAGAATGATTCACTGACAAATTCTTAAACTGATTACCAAGGCCATCATAGACTTTCCAGCAGTTGGAGATACTAGTGCCAACAAGCCTTCAACAAGTGAAAAATAAAGATAAGTGATAAGTACCTCTGATATCTCCACAACTGGTAAGTATCTATGTTGTAAACTTGGCCAAATAATTGACAAATGTGCTGCGGCAATTATAATACTGTGTGAGGGCTGAGTTTGTGCTCAGTAAATGGTTGCTGACTTGGGGAAAGGTTCTTCCCCCAGTTAAATCTATATTTCATCTTTCTTACCAGTTCTGAAGAAGACGACGAGAAGTGAGTTTATTAAATTGAACACGCTGATAGGTATGCATATTTTAGGAACACCTGGAGACGTGGCTTCGAGTTTGTCTATGTCATCAATATTTTTGCTGTCTGCCGTATCGAACCTCTGAAGGCAGTAGCCGAGCAGTAATATCGCTGAAGACTGATAGTTCGACCCTGGTTCAGTTTCGGGCAAACCGGCTGGCTGCATTGGAATTTTCCGTGTTGTTGTTATCCTTGTGTAACGTGAATACGAGCCATGAATACGAGGCATTCCTGTGCATAGGCAGACAGTCCTCCTGTGATTTGCTGTAATCAAATAAACCAACGATTCCCTGACGGTATTGTTGCTCTTAGGTAGTGCTAACCAGGTTTTATGATCATGGTGCTTGCGAGTTGGTGGCATACATAACCATTACAGATATTCATAACCATCGAGCGATCTTCTACTTGGACTGGTCAAATTTAATTTTCTTGTGGCTGTCTATCTTAATTTATGATTTAAGCATGTCAGCAGATTCATTTTGACTGAAATCAGCATCTTCTAATTTTTTTTTTAGAAACATAATTCTACAGACGAATTTTACACATTCAGAATTGGTCTCTTTGCGTTTTCTTAAAAAACATATTCTTTTAACAAACTCTAGATAATTGTATAGCATTTCCCAGATTACATGTGATATTAAATTTTAAAAAATTACGGAAATCTATTTTGAATTATTAAAAAAATATGTTTGAAACTTTTTTTTTTTTTTTTTTGTTGATGCAGTACTAATAAAATTATTGATATTTTTATAAATTGTTTTGATATCATAATATAATTTATATTAATTAGTTTCAGAGTTCTGTGCCAAAATCCAGACAAAATTCGAATATGGTTGTCATCAAGCATGAACCTGAAGATGTAACAAGCTATCGGCCAGAATTTCAGAACTCTCAGCTCGTACAGGTTATATAACTGAGACACAATTTCTTTATGATTACTTGTATAGCTCAATAAATTCAGATCCACTGAAAACTCTTTAAAATTTACTTTATGAAATATGTTAATGAATATTAATGAATGTGAATTGGTAGGTTATTGTTAACCAAAACTCTTGCAATGAAGTGTACTAATATCTTTAAATTGAAATTGTAAATTGTTCATTTCATTACCGTAAGCAGTGTTTACTGCTATTATCAAAAAATTGCTGTAATCTATCCACGATTTTCACTCTTTTAGTTTTTAATTTTTGAAATGATATATAATTCGAAATTTGAATGGATTGTTAACATTTTTAATGTAAAGATTAGCTTACAGAGTGCAATGTAATTTTATTTCTGCTTTTACTTTTTTTAAGGCTTTGAATGCTTCGAGAACAACACTTTCAAACTCAGAAGTAAATTCTCATGACTCCCGTACTACAGATAAGACTAACCAAGCAGTAAACCCTTGCAACTACAGCAGTAATTTAAAGGACAGAGCTATTCTGGAAGATGTAAAATACATCGGAATGGTAATATTACATTTGCATGTTTTGGAATTTTTATTTAACATCTCATGCATAAAATTCTCATGCATCATTGTTTCATAACATCAGAAACAATTCGTGTAGAGGAGGGTAATAACAGAACTTTACCGACCCTAACAGCATGGTGACGTTGCTGTGACATTGCAAATGTGTCACACTGTGAGAATCTCAGTATCGCAGTGAGTTTGTAGATATGGCTTAATAGCCTCTTTTCACGACGTCACATTATGAGGCTTATGTGTTGTCACATTGTGACGTTTATGTGACTGCACATTTGAACATTCATGTGAAGTCACATATTGACATTGCTGTGAAATTACCTTGTGACGTTGATGCATAGTCACTCTGCGACGTTGTTGTGAAGTCACACTGCAATGCTGTTGTGAAATTACACGGCGACATTGTTGGGAAGTCACACTGCGATATTCATGTAACGCCACAATGCGACTTTGATGTAATTCCATAGAGTAACATGAATGGAATAAAGTGCCGCGAATATAATGCCACTAAAGATACAAATGGATATCACACAACACAGAATTACTTTCTAAACGATTAACGTGATTTCTCAGCGCTCCTGTTTTAGAGAACTCGTAATTTCAAAAATATTTTAGTAATCCAATACGAAATTATAGTCTTCAGGGTATTAAAATATTTCCATAATATTCGAAATTTTAAAATTGTTGAAAATTCAATGTAATCATTTTAAATTTTCTCATCGTACTAGAGTTGTATCTTATCCTATTAAGGTTATATAACTGTAATCCATTCATGGTTTATTGCATATCTGTATGAAAAATAATGTGCCTGGAAATGCAGAATGTATTGTATATGATGTGAAAGTGATCATGTAATCCTTTTCTAAAGTGTGTTGCATTGCAAATACTTCTGAGTATTTATTACTTGTCCAGAAGCTACATAATATTGCTTTCATTCTTTAATACACTGCTGGCCATTAAAATTGCACCACCATGAATGAAAACAAATACAAAAAAGATATTTATTGTGCGTAAATAGTATGGCATGAAGATAAAATGATTAAATTTGTAAGCAATCTAGGCGTTTATAGAGGTGAAACATTAGTAGAAACAGCTGCCACCCCTGGCAGCTTAAATAGCCCTTACCCGGTTAGGCATCGAGTCGAACTGGGCTTTGACAACAGAAATGGGGAACTCGTTCCATGCTGCTTTAAGTCTATGCCACACTTCCTCAGCCGTATTAGCAGGAGAGGAGTGGCAACCTCTCCTGCTAATACGGCTGAGGTAAAACATCTCTCAGCAACCCATGACCAGATGTTTAAAATAGGTGACAGATCTGGAGACCGTGCAGACCAGGACAGCAATCAAACAATCTGTGTATCAAGTAATGTCAGGAAAGACAAGCAGCATGTGTTCTTGCATTATCTTGTTAGACGATGAAGCTGGGCAGACGTCGAAGGTAGGGCACAGTAACTGCACGTAGTCAGAAATGTATGGACCTACGTTCAAATTATCATCTGTCTGAGCTAGAGATGTACATGTCGTGAACAGAATGGCATCCTAAATCGTCACACAGGGCCCCCTATTTCGATATCGAATGCAAGCAGACGACGTGCGGTCCCCTCGGAACCTTCAGACACCTATATGGCCATCAGAATACTGCATGCTGAAGCGGGACTCGTCTGAAAAGATGACATTGTGCCACGCCTGTATCCAGCTTTGTCGTTCGGCGCACCAGAATCACCGTCTCGGTCTATGCTGCATTGTCTAGGAAAGCCGAAGTAATAGTCGCTGTGTTGATAGTCCACGCTACTGCAAACGTCCACGCACCGTACGAGCGGATAAAGGGCGTGCTCCAAACCTATCCATTTCTTGACTAATGGTCCGTGTTCTACGCTTTTGGAAGGGCTGGCCTCACAATATGCCTGCCCTCTCGGCCGTTAGTCGTGGAAGGCGTTGAGATCCTGCATTGCCGTTCAGTGTGATAATTAGCAACCCACTGATTGCATATTCGAATGACAGTGGTTGGATGTCGACCAGAGCGACAGACTATATTACGGAACGATAATCCACACTCTCGATAAGCAACGATCCTGCTCCTATCGAATTCCGACATTTGCTGGCAAACATTTCTTTTTATTGGAGGCATAAAACGATATTCTGATAAAACTCCTACTTTAAAAAGCGCTTTATGAATGAGACAAGTTTTCTTTTAGTGCTTCAGATGTCGTTTATCCCTCCTATGTCGTCTAAATGCGCTGAAATGCTAATCATATGCATATCTCAAACTCTTCTTCCTTTCATGTGATTTTGACGTTCATCAGATCATTTCTTCCTGGTGTTGGAATTTTATTGGCCAGCAATGTATTTAATAAATATTTAATATAAATATTTAAGAGAATTTTAATATTAAAATAGTTAATATATATAAAAAATATTTAAGAGAAGCAGTTATGGGGTTAGTTTCAGATGGCAAGGCTCTGTAGCTGTACTTTCTTTAAAGTAGTTCGTTTTTCTTTAAGCTGATCTTTTTCTCAAAAGTTTTCATTTTACTTTCTTTTGCAAAATCAGAAATGTTTTCAAACTGTAAAGAGTCAAAAAAGCATCGATACATATTTGATTGTTTTAATACTAGATGGGAATTAAAGAAGCCTTTTCTTTAGTATATACTTTTAATTGAAAACAAATAGATTGTATGATTTCTTTAATATAATTTTTTTAAAATATCCTTTAGCGTAGTAAATATAAAAACATTTTTATGCATTTCATTTTAGAATCTACACAATTAAAATGCCATTTCATTTATTTACTTTAGTTCAAATGGATGGAAATTGGCTATATTTATAAAAATAAAAGTAATTTCTTTCACCTTCTTAGCGTGCCTTCGTGGTGTAGTGGTCTGAATGCTGAGCGCGTATTCCAGAGTTCCGTGGTTCGATTCCCGAGGAAGGCGTTGCTAATTTTTCATCTCACCTGCTTCCAAAAAAATCTTAATGACTCTACAGTGCCACTCGAACTAAAAGGGTGGTGGATGATGATCCTCCACATCAAGGATTTGGCGATTGGGCCCCTAGAAACCCCAGACGCCCTTTAAAAAGAGCAGTACATAAGGTATTTCTTCTGCATTTTTAGTGTGACTTCATGGTGTAGTGGTCTGCATGCTGGGCGCGTAACCCAGAGGAACGTGTTTCGATTCCCGGAGAAAGCGTTGCTAATTTTTCAACTCTCCTGCTTCCAAAAAAATCCTAATGTCTCTAAAATTCCACTACTTAATTTTTTCGGATAAAAAAGGTGCGTTTTATATTGTGTTACCTGTAAAAAGGGATTTCATATTTTTAATTAAGTTAATTTACAACTTTTGTTAAAATTGAAAATATAAAACTCCTTCTATTACATTGAAAGAATTATATGTGTGTCCTACTGTGAAAAGCAGCACAATTATCCAAAGTTTTCAGATCTTTGGATAATTGTGATTTCTATTTTGGCTTTCTGAGGTAAGCCAATTTCCGAGAAATTTATTTCTGTGTTTAAATGCGGCAAGAAACGCGAGATCTGTTCCAATAAAAAGAATTCCATGAAGTTATATTTTCCCTTAAAATCAGTTTTTCTTTCTCTGTATGGTGGCAAAGATTCACTTTAATCAATCATTGTTTTATAATATGGAAATTTTGAGTTAACCTAAGTTTAATCATTGAAATTTTTAAATTCCTTTGTGAAAGATTCCTTTCTTAATTTCTATATCTAAAAGCCTGACATAATTTACAGTAAGAAAAGAGCCAATGCAATAAATTTAAAAAATAATATCAGAAATTTACATCAAGGAAACATGAAAAGTTGAGATCTGTAAAGTAATACACGATTGGTAAAATTATAGTAATTAAAAATGTATTATTCCTAACTAGAACCTGGTGATGAAAGTATGGCATAATTTATATTGTGACACCAAGAACCACACATATAAGTAAGCAATTCTTTTGTAAAATTAATTTTGAGAAATAGCAGAGGACGATGAAATACTGCTATAAAGTGCCTAAAATACATTCCTTTTTCACATTATCTGATATCATTCACGTCAATATACCATAAACAATGCTTACTAGACATTAGGTTATTTGGAAGCAGGAGAGATGAAAAACGAGCGATGCCCTCGCCGGGACTCGAACCACGGACCTCTCGAATGCGCGCCGAGAGTGCTGACCACTACACCATGAAGGCACGCTAAGAGGGTGGGAGAAATACGTTATATGTTCCCCCTTTTAAAGGGCGACTATGGGTTAGCGGACCCAATCACAAAATCCTCGTGGTGGAGAATTATCATCCACCACCTTTTTTAGTTCGGGCGCCATTGTAGAGACATATTCGTGAGGTCCGTGGTTCGAATACGCTTCGAGCGTGCTGACCACTACACCACGAAGGCATGCTAAAAAGGCTGGAGTAATACATTATAAGTTCTGTATCTCCCGTTCTACAGGCTGATTCACGAAATTCATCGTGCGTTTTCCACGTCTCGAAAGCGCAACTTAGAATATGTATTAGATTTATATACATGCTCTTGATTAGCTTTTATTAAAAGTGTCTAATAAAGTTATTAATTTTTTTATAAATTATTTTGATACTGTAATATATTTTATGTTAATTAGTTTCAGAGATATGTGCCAAACTCCAGACAAAAATCGAATATGATTGTCATCAAGCATGAACCTGAACCTGTAGCAAGCCCACAATCGGGATTTCAGAACTCCCAGCCGGAACAGGTTATATATCTAAGACACAATTTTTTTATGAGCTCTTGTATAGATAAATAAATTCAGATCGATTGAAAAATGTTCAACATTTACTTTATGAAATATGTTAGTGAATGTTAATTGATATTGTAATATTAACCAAAACTCTTACATGGAAGTTTACTAATATCATTTTATTGAAATTATAAAGTGTTCATTTAATTTTCTTAAGCAGTGTTTACTGCTCTTATCAAACATTAGTCTGTAAGATTTTCCCTCTTTTAGTTTTTAACTTTTAAAATGGTATATATAATTTAAAATTTGAATGAATTGTTAGCGGTTTTAATATACAGATTAGATTGAGAGTGCAATGTAATTATATTTCTGCTTTTATTTAAGGCTTTGAGTTCTGCGAAAACATCACTTTTGAAATCAGAAGTTAATTCTCATGACTCTCGTACTACAGCGAAGACTAACCGAGAAGTAAACTCGTATAAATACAGCAGTAATCTAAAGGACGAATCTATACTGGAAGATGTAAAAGGCATCAGAATGGTAAAACTACATTTACATGTTTTGGAATTTTCATTTAACATCTTATGCATGGATATTAAAAATAATTTATGTGCAGGAGATAAATAAAATAACTTCCCCGATATCTGAATCGCTAACGGCCAATTTCCTTACCCAATCGAAATGAAAGCTTAAATGTTGTTATCTGAATGTATGCGCTCAAGATTATGATGATTTAAAAGAGTGGTCTCATGGTTACGCTTGCAGTGAAAACATTTAAAAGAATTTTAATGGCGATTGTATCGCCATTAAAAATCGTCTCGTTTTTCCTACGTAAATATATCAGCGCATTCAAAAACCATAAATTGCGCTGCAATGATGACGTATCACAAAAACTATTGGCGTGAAACGTTTGCAAAGAACATTGTAAAGAACAAATGACAACACAGAGAGAAAGTACATTGATGCACTTTGCATAATTCATAGTGATAGACAGTAGAAGGTAGGCTAAGACAGGGCCTGTGTTTAAATACTGTATGTGATTTGCTAAAACATTTTGAAGAAACTGGTTGCACATTGTACACATTGTGATGCAGACGACCATGTGTTCCTGTTGAAGTTATTGTGGAAGTTCATAATATGATTTATGCAGGTTCACTGCATACTTCAAGAAGTGTTGCTGGCAATTTGGATGTACCAAAACCACGAATTTCAAGTTTCTGAACTCTCTTCTGTGGATGTTTCCTTATCGATTGCATCATGCGCAGATTTTGGAAACTGGAGACATACAACAGAATATCGACTTTGCGGTTTTTTCCTCATGAGGTTTGATGAAGATAGCAGGTGATCATTGCAGATATTATGAATGAACAAGGCGCATTTCTCCTTAACTGGGAAAAATAAACTATAAGAACTGCATTTACTGGGCTCATGAAAATCCCCACGATGCGACATTATCACTTTTACACAGAGCTAAAGTAACTGTGTGGCGAGGCATCGCAAGCACATTTGTTTTCGTTCTGTACCTTGTAGAGACATTAGGTATTTTTGCCAGCAGCTAAAAGGAAAAATTAGCAACACTTTCGCCGGGAATCGAACTGCTGACCTCTCAATTACACGCTAAGCGTGCAGACCACTACACCACGCATTAAACCACGAAGGCTCGCCAAGTAGGTGGGAGAAATACCTTATAACATCTTCGAAGAGGTTATTTCCAAAGGTATGAAAACATATTCCACCACAAGTCTCAAAATATAACAATATCGCAGAATTACTGAGTTATAGAATTCCAGCAGCGAAATGTCATTAATGGCATTGTATGGATTCAAGATGGTGCTGTTCCTCACACCACCACATGTGTTCAGTAAATGCTGCAACAGTTCTTTGGATTGGATTATTCAATTATGGCAAAGCACACGAGGGCTATCTGCCTAAAGGGGGGGATGCCTTCGTGGAGGACTTTCTAAGGGAAACTGGCTCGTATACACGTTACACACGGGGAAAACCACGAAAACGCCCATGCAGCCAGCCCGTTCGCGGGATTCGAACCTCATCGAAATACCAGTGTTCAGCGTCTTTACCGCTCGGCCGCTGGTGGGCCTCAACAGTTCTTTGGATATAGTGTCATCTTCCTAAACTTTATAGTTTCTTGGCCACCGCTATCTTGTAACCTCACTTCGATGGATTTTTGGTTTTTAGTTATCTGAAATCTGAGATGTACGCCTGACATCCATGAGATTTTTCACAATTCAAAGATGCCCTTAAATGTGAAGTTATATAGATTCCTCCTATGATGTTACGTTCATCAGTTGTCAGCATCCGCATGCAATATCTGCGAAAGTGGGCACGTTTGAAAACTTGTAAATTCCAATAATAGTCTTTCCTCCACTCCTCTATTGTGATGGTATGGGACCTTTACAATGCCTTGCTTTATGCCATTCATTTTCATTATACGTGTATCATTTCAATGCTATTTATGATTTTTATTGTGCTCATGAGTTTTCAGACAAAAAACATAGATGTTGCCATTCCAAATTTTCACAATATAACTGTAAACGTGAGATCCCTGTTGTTTAAATCACAATCTTGAGTGCACACCTTCAAACAACAATATCTGAAATTTCATTTCAATTGGCTGAGCAAATAGCCCGCTATGGTTAATATATCAGGAATTTTTTTAATCACCACCCTTATGTATAATTCATTATTGGTTTGTTTCAACAGTATATAAGCTGAAATGTGTATAACATGAAACATTTCCAATTAATACTTAATTAATGTATAGAGGTCCAAAACTCAGTTAAACTTTCATCCCTTATCTTTTTTATGTATCATAATCTATCTTTAGCAATTATTCGAACATGCCAAGTGGCTGTACAGGGTAGATAAAAAGGGCACATTATTTTATTAATTTAGTAGCTACAAGGCGGAGTGAAAGGCTTCTTTTAGTGAGAAGGGCAGTACTTTTTTTCTCATGCCACATTTCCTCTGTATACATCGACACATTTTCCACTTCACTGCTTCGAATTAACATATGCAACTCCCTTTTATGAACCATTGTCTATAGATGTGCTAAATTTCCGAAAATATAGGATGCATACTCTGATTGACATTATTACGGGTGCAAAATATATCCCTCATTTTTCGAAGCTTAGCGCATGTTAAAACGATGGATGATAGAGAGAAGCAAGTTGTAAGTGCTGCTTCGAAGAGAGAAACTGGAACAGGTGTCGATAAGAAAGAGTCAAAGAGGGTTAAATATTTTTGGTTTCAAACGAAATCTTATTTGGTGTTTGGATAAAAATGTATCTGCATTGCAGTGTTATATAAGATTATATGGCCCAGTTTAGATGTTTGTCTAAAATTAGAAGTTTGCCTCAGGATGTTTGTTTCAGGTTAGTTCCCTCTTTACGTTTTAATTAAATTTAGAGAAGTTTTCCAGTATAGTACAATCTTCTTCCTCTAATTTACAAATCTAATTTTTGTTATATGTTTAAAAGTTTAATTTCATGCTGATTCGTATGTAATTTTGTACACAAAACGTTTGTCTCCCACATTATTTTTTAAATAATGAACTTAACTTTTTCCCATATTGAACATTATTATTGTTCCCCCACAAGCTATTTATTTAAATGCTCTGCGTGATGGAAAAGTCTGATAAACAAATTTGGAATTAGCGAGAAAATGTCATAAGAATCATTCTTTCATTTTCAGTTAACAAGCTAAAAGTTAAATTTTGCTGATGATTATAATCTTTGTGTGTCTAGCATTTTAAATGCTCCCTTTATTTGTTATTTTCTGCATTATGCAATGTTAATGTGTTTTTAACATAGAATAATTTTTCTTATGGGTTATTTTAAGTATCAGCATTCAGCCCTCGTATGCCCGGTGTTGGGGAAAATCAAACAAGAACCCAAGAAGGATCAAGCTGGAAAAGTTTTGCAAGCAACTCCTCAAAAAATTACTACACCTGCAAGGATTTGGCACATTCAGCCTTATGGGGCTGCAGCTGAAGCAGGAAAACGTCTAGAATTGGTAATAACTTCTTTTGAACACACAGAATTATAAAGAGTTTATTTCTTAATAAGCAGAGAAATTTCACTATAAGCTAAGGTCACCAGCTATTCTAATTCTGTTAAGTAACTGATCTATGATTTTCAAAATGTTAAGTAATTTATATCAAATTTACTAATTTGAGGTAAAAAGAATTTTATATGTAATTATTTTTATTCATAACATAGCGTAAATTGATAGGCATTAATAGTTTATAAAAGTAATTCTGATGAAATCATACCAAAATAAATGTAATCCCCTCCCCCCCTTTTTTTTACATTCGGTTTAAAGAGCTCATGAACTATGTGGAAATCTTATGTTTCAAAAATTTAATAATTTATATACATATTAGTAACATTAAAAATCATTAATTAATTAAGCTTAAAAATATGGATTTTATTTTTAATATTTATTGATAAAACTATGAAAGTTATGTTGAAGCTCCCGTTTATTTAATCTATGGCAACAGGTACATGGAACAATATCTTTAGTGGATTTTAATTATTGAAAGTTGCATTTTCTAATTCTATTTTTGCATGCAGTCAGTTAAACTTATTTGTTCTGTAATGTTTAAATAGAGTATGGGAAAATTTAATCATCAGTAATGCCATGTTACTTCGAATTTAGGCCACAGTTTTTTATTCAGATTTTTAAAAAATAATTCTGTTTGGTTTAAATTCAAAGCGACTATTTTAATTTCTTAATCCCATCTGTGCCAGTGTTCTGCTCCCCAGTGATGGTCTTTATTTTACACTCTGTGCTTGATTATATCTATCATAAATTATACTCTGTTTCAAAGCATTTTTATGTTTATTACAAAAGCATATTTTATTAACTTCCAATAAACAATTAATTTTTTGGAGTTTAAATTTCTGCCAGTTTTAAATTCGAATGCAGATGCCTTTTATTATTTTTTTTTATGATTTTAAAATTCAGCTGTTGCGTAAATTCAAAGTAATACGGTAACTTAAAATTGCATAATTAAGTGTTAGATGTTTTATTATACTAAATATTTCATATTTTACTCCTTTCTAGATTTGATTGCATTTTTCAGTTCTTTATAATGAACTAATATTGAAAATTTCTTCATTTAAATCAATTATATTTTCACATATTAATATTTTAGTAATTGAACAAAAGTTAGTTTTAAAATAATTGCATTTGAAATCAGTGCTTCTGAAACTTCTTAACAGATAAAATTCAGTTAAAATTCAATTTTTGAATGTTTTGTGTACTATCTTTTACAATACAGTTGAGGTCTGATAATTCTTAATTTCTGAAAAATTTAGATATATGTATCTCAGAACCAAACTGGGTGGTAACAAATGCAGATATACTCTCACTGCTGTCATCGGATGCAGGATTCATTAAGACATTTATTACGAAATTTAGAACAAGTAGATAAAGCATGTGTGTTTCCCACCTCAAACTGTCTTATGCAACAAGGCATATTTTGTCTTCACATGTAGATAAAAGAAGCAAAACAGAGTTTCTTAGTTTTAAAATCCAACTGCTGCTTAAATTCAAAGTAATATAATAATTCAAATTGCGTAATTGAAAGTTAGATGTTTTATTGCTCTAAAGGTTTGATATTTTTCCTTTTTTACTGAACAGCAGTGGCGAACAGATATTTTTTGAAAGAATACACAAGTTAAAAAGAAAGTTCAGATAAATAAAATGTTTAAATAAGAAAGACTGAAAAGAGATAAAGTAAATTGAAATAATGCACTATGTTTAGAATTTTTCTGATAAAGTCCTTTTCCTCCCAAACATTTGAAAGGAGCTCAGCAGCTAAAACATTGTCAGTGGAAGAGAACCCTGTTCTTTGTTATACAAATTTAAGCTTAAAATTCTATGTTTTTTGCAAGAAGTTGTCTCTCAAGTTTTACCTATTTAGAATTTAAGTTCTTAATGAGGTTGTTAAGAACCTCTTTGACATATACTTAAATTCTGACATAAAAAAGTTGTAGCATTCGTTTTTAAGATTTTAACCAGTTATTTTGTGTTAATTGACTGTTATATCACTTTCATTTCCATTTTTCTGCCAGAATGTAAATTTCTAGTCTGCCTGATTAGTAGAAAAACGAGGATATTTAAAGGATGGTTTCACAGGATAGAGCGTGTTCTGTCTGCTTAAAGGCCACACTGATAATTTGAGTCTCTTGTGAATTGTGTTCTGCGGCGTTGAGTTATTCTCACTGGTTTGTTATGCCCACCTTAGGTCAGACTCAGGTTGAGCATCATTCAAAGTATGCAGCTGTTAGGCTAACTTACCTTCTTAGTTTTCGTTAATTCTATTCATTGAGTTAAGCCATAATTGTTGGCTTCTGTCAGCACGAGCAGGTGCTGTCTATTAAAATTTTATTTGAATCAAATGAAAGGGTCCTTTACACCCTTGTAGAGTCCTGAAAAATGAGCAAACGCCTTCGCCGGGAATCGAACCACGTACCTCTGTAATACGCGCCCAGCCTGAAGACTACTACACTACAAAATCATGCTAAGAAGGCGGGAGAAATACCTTATATACTCGCCCTTTTAATGGGGGATTGGTGTTTTTAGGGTACCCAGGCGCCAAATCTTGGGTTAGGATAATCATTATCCACCACCCTCTTATTTCGGGCGCCACTATAGATTCATTAGGTTATTTGTAAAGCAGGAGTGATGAAAAATGAGCAACGCCTTCTCCAGGAATCGAACCACGGACGTCTGGAATACGCGCCCAGGGTGCAGACCAACTACACTACGAAGGCATGCTAAGAAGGCGGGAGAAATACCTTATATGGTAAATACAAGCCATAGTGAAATTCACTTATATCCTTTATAGTTTTAGTCTAGTTTATGCTAACTTAAGAAGACCAAACTCTATAGACTGATAAAAAGATTAGAAATGAAAGCTCAAATATAATTATTTCAGGTAATTTGATTAATCATAAAAAGGAATAGACACTGCCCAGGTTGGTAGAAAAACTGTTAAATGACATGCTCTTAACAAGTAAGCAAAACAAAATATGATAATGCAACCTTTTGGAAATTTCAAGTTTTCAAGTTTTTTCTTAAATAAATATTTTGTTTTAAATATATCTAGAAGGTTTTTCTTAAATAAGTATTAAAATCTCTTATTAAATAATGCCCAGTTAGCATGTATTTTTAATAACTCGAATGCCTATATTTAAAATTCATAAGTTTTGAATTTAATTGCAATAACTGTTTGAAATAAATTATTTATGCTCTAGGACGGAAACTCGCCTAACATGCCGCATTATCTTCCTAAAACTCCCATTATAAAAACCAGTGCAAACATTACACCAACTACGCAAGCATCGGCATTGCAACATGGAGATAAAAATGGAACACCATCAAATGGACAGACACAGAATATAATCTTCCTTAACATGGTAATGATTTCCAATGATTCTCTGTATATATGTCTTAGCAAAAATGTCAGATCTAAGTTGGGTCTTGTTCTCAAATTTGATTGAAGAATTCATGATGTAAAGTTAAAAATTAAACTTAAATAAAATTTATTTTTGCAAAATAAAAAGTGAAAAAAAATGTGAAAGAAATTTCATAAAATAAATTTCTGGAGTAAAATAAATTTACTTTTTCAAAAATCAAATATGTGGAAAATATATTCGCAAATTAAAAATATAATTTATATTTGTTAAAAACAAAAGATTTTCAAAGAAAATATGGGGGGGGGAATTTAGGCTTGTAAAGTAAAAATGAATAAAAAGACAAAGTAAAATTGTGGAAAAATTCCAAATTAACATAAAGAAACATAACCATTCAAGAAACCAACATGTTTATTGGCTCAGTCAAGAAGGATGCTTTTAAGGTGTATCTAAAAAGTTAAGTAAAAATATCTCCAAAGTTAGTGTGAAATGGCAGCTAAAAATTTACCTGTCTAAACATGATTTATTTCTACCTTTTGATCACATTTACCCTGGTATTGGCATCACGGTTGTTTATTACGGATGGGGCTAAGCTATTTTGGACTGAAAACTGCTATTGGTCTTGCGGTAAAATATATGAATTAAAAATAATATTTAATAATAAGATGTTAAAAATAACTATACCAACAAAAATAATTACAAATTAAACAATTAGATTACTTGATTCAAAATAATTAAAACGTGCCATCGCCCATCATATGGTTCAAGAAAATCATCTTTACCACAAAGTAAAAGCAAAAATTTGAAAATATCCATTATTGCCACAAGAGAAAAAAAAAACTACCATGTATTACGTCATCTATGTGGGACTCTTCGTGGTATTGACAGAAGAGTCAAGGTACTGGGAGGCAAGAACGCTCTTTAGGCAATGACTTTGGTCATTTTGAGCTTAATTCTATTGTTTGCAACCTCTGTTTATAAGATTTTAATTCTTTGTAATGTTTTGCATAAGCATTGGTTGTTTGATTGGTTGCTTTTTAATGGCACAAGACCTCGAGGATTATTATGCGCCAGATAAATGGTGAATAAAATTCAAGATGCACGCAACGGTATCAAATGAATTGATGAAATGAACCTTAAATGCTGATGAAGGCATGGAGAAATGACTTTGAGAAATTCTCTAGCAACAGGTAGAGCAGGATAAAAGGAAAATAACTTCAAATCATATGGTAAAAAGAGATGTCTTTTAAAATGTTATGAGGTTGATGTGGGGAGGTTATACCAATGAGATGAAGGCATGGAGAAATGACTGAGAAATGCTCTAGAAACAGGTAGAGCAAGACAAAATGTAGTTCAAATCATATGGTAAAAAGATACAGTGGATGGACAAAAATATGGAAACACCTTGTGAAATGCATGTTTGAAAAGAAAGATTGATTTTAATGAAATATGTAGGTGGCGCTGGCGTTTTTGACTACTGACGCCACCTATACTTCGTAAATGTGCTAAACAGTACAGTTGTTGTCGGAGTACTGTTATGTGAGGTTGGCATTGTATTATGTCAGAGTTAACTGACTTCGAACGTGGGCAAGTTGTTGGAGCACGTATGATAGATGCTTCTGTAAGCAAGGTAGCCGAGGTATTTAGTGTTTCAAGAGGTACTGTATTGAAGATTTATTCCGCATATTTGAAAAGCGGAAAAACATCATCTGCTAAATCACAGCGCGGACGAAAGTGTGTCCTGACTGATCGTGACAGACGATCATTAAGGGCAATTGTGAAGAAAAATGAGAAGACCACAGCTGCAAAAGTTACTGCTGAAATGAATGTTGTGTTACCGAACCCTGTGAGTACCAAAACAATTAGAAGGGAGCTTCATAAACAGGGAATTGCTGGCCGTGCTGCAATTGAGAAGCCACTCATCAGTGATGCTAATGCCCCGTAACAGGAAAGGAAAAGGTGGTGTTTAAGTCATAAAGCCTGGACTATAGAGCAGTGGAAGCGAGTAATATGGTCTGACGAGTCTTCTTTCACATTGTTTCCCACTTCTGGCCGAGTTTACGTTTGGAAATCGCCATCTCAAGCTATAATACAGACGCTTGTTGCCAAGAGTGAAACATGGCGGGGGTTTGTTATGGTTGGGCAGCCATATCGTGGTTCTCTGCTAGCCCCATAAACTGTGTCAGGGCACATGACTGCCAAGATTATGTGAACATTTTGGCCGATCAAGTTCATCCATGGTACAAACTTTTTTCCCGATGGTGATGGTGTCTTCCAAGACGACAAAGGCCCTGTTCACAGCTCGCATTGTCCAGGACTGGTTTTCTGAGCACAGGATAAGTTGTCCATCTCCCCTGGCCACCACAGTCACCAGACATGAATATTATCGAACCTTTGTGGTCTACATTGGAACGGAAAGTGCGTTCTCGTTATCCACCGCCAACATCGTTATCTGAACTTGCCACCGTTTTTCAGGAAGAATGGTATAATATTCCCTTGGCAAACATACAGGAACTGTATTTATCCATTCCGAGAAGATTGCAAGCTGTTTTGGATGCCAACGAGTTTCCTACACCATATTAAGTAAAGAAACATGCTTTTTTAAAGGTGTTTCCATATTTTTGTCCAACCCCTGTATATCTTTTAACAATCTTATGAGGTTGATGTGAGGCTTTCTTCCAATGAGATCTGTTAAGTTAACATTCGTAGAATTAAAATAAAATTAACGTTTCTGTGTAAAACCAGGACAGCAGGTTAAAATGTGATTGACTGAAACGGGAACGTTGCAAGTGCCACAAATAGGCTCATTATCTCCTTTCAAGAGATACTGATATGTCAGTCTGCAATGACCAATTCGTAGGCGAGTCAGTAGTACATCCTCCTTTCGATTCCTTCTCGACTCCCAATACTCCAAAATGGGATCTACCTGCCTTAATTTGTTCAGAGTTTGGCATTTCCAGAGTTCTTGCCACTTGAACAAGATCTTTTTTTCTGATGTAATTCCGTATGTAAAAGGGACATCATTTTCAGAGGTAATATCAGCAGATTTTGCTGCGATATCGGCGAGGTTCATTGCCTTTGATGCCAGCATGTCCAGGCACCCAGCAGTGCGCAATATAATAACCTACGTTTCTCAAACGGAGGTGTGCCTTTAAAATTTCTAATACCAAAGGGTGGCTAGTATTTGTATTTATTGAATCAAGAGCATTCAGAAAGTCAGAGTAGATGATGAACTTTCTGCTATTCTGTCTAGAGATAAAGATTAAGGAATTCAAAATGGCAGAAGTTTCCGCAAAGACAACGTGGATCAAAGAGCCGTCAAGATGCAGCTCTGGATCAGGATGTAGATTTCGTTTGCGACAAAAGTGCATGCAGACTATCTTATGGCCAGAAAATTTAAAACCATTGTTGTTGGACCACTTAATGATTCTATTTAGAGCAATTTGTAGTTGTCTCTCAATGTATCTCATATCTTGACCTTGGTAACAGGTCATCAGATCATCAACATACAGGGAACCATGCACTGTAGGAGGAAGTTGTCTTAAAATGTAATTAATCTTCAGACTGAAGAGAGTGACATTGAGCACTGAACTTTGAGGTGTTGTACAGATACTTGAGAAAGCAATGAACCAATCTTGACTTGGAAAGTGAGGTCCTTCAGAAAGTTTTAAATGAAGATTGGTAAATTACCTCGCAATCCAGTGCTGAGTCCATGTCGCCAAGTTCTATCGTACGCCTTTTCCATGTCAAAGAAGATTGAAACCATATGATTTCTTTTCACAAATTCATTGCGTACTGCGGTTTCTAAAAACAGGGCATTATCAAGTGAAGATCTTCCCTTAAGGAAACCACTTTGGTAAAGCGATAGGCAATGGTTAGTCTCCAGACAGTAGGTGAGGCGGTATTTACCATTTTTTCCGTGATCTTGCAAAGGCTGTTAGCGAGCGTGATGGGGGCAATAATTTAAAGGATTTTTCGGGTCCTTGCCGGGTTTTACTATAAGGATAACAAAGGCCCTGCACCAAGCAATTGGAAAAAAATTGTTCCTTCGATATCTTATTATAAAGAGCAAGAACAACTAGAGATCTATAGGGCAAGTGCTTTATCATCAAATAACTTATGCCATCAGGAGCAGGGCAAGTCCTATCAGTGCGAGATATTACACTCCTTAATTCAAACATGGTGAGATCGTTATTATAAGATTCTGTATTAGGCTGGGAAAAGTCGATTTGAATCCAATCCAAGCGCAGCTTTGTGGGCAGAAACTCTTTTTAGTAATTGCTACTGCCAGATACAGCAGCAAATGTATCACCTAAAGCATCAGCTATTTCTTCTCTAGTGCTTATCAACTTTCCATCTTTTTCTAGAACAGAAAAGGCATAATCATTATATAGTCCAGAGGCTTTGCGGACTCTTTCCCAAACCTATTTGCTAGACATTGAGGAGGTAATAGTGGACACGTAGACTGCCCATGATTTTCTCTGACTTTGCGGTCTCACTTTTCTTGCATTCGCCTTAGCTTTTTTAAAGACAAGAAGATTTTCCAGTGTTGGATATCGGCGAAAGATACGCGAAGTTTTCTTTTGCTCTCTCGAAGTTTCATGAGAATCATTCTTCCACCAGGGTTTAGGGAAATTTGTCGAGGACTTCGGAATAAAGAGTTCAGCTGCTTGTACAATAGTATCAGAGACACTGTACTGCTGTATTAATGTCCACATCGTCAACCATTTCTTCAGTCAGCACAGCACAAGATGCAAAAAGATCCCAATCAGCTTTATCGTAAAAGTAAGCGTTTTTGTCTTGAGAATTTTGATTTTCCTGTAATATTTACAATGACTGGGAAGTGGTCACTATCGTAGAGATTCTACCCTACACTGTAAGAGCAGAAAGGTAGTAGAGATGGAGAACAAAAAACCAGATCAATTACATGAAGTGTTCTAGTTGCCTGATAAAAGTGAGTGTATTCTCCATTATTAAGGAGACAAATAGGATGATTTCCCATT